GAGCCTCGCCAGGAAGACGTCGAATTGGAACGCGCCCCCTTCCGAGGGGACGACGGGCGCAATCTTCATCGGATTGCGGCGCGCCTGAGCCCGCGCACTGCACGGGGCGCAGTCGCCCGGGTCGCCCGCAACGGCCGAACGTGTCTTCGGATCGCAGAGGCTCTCGCAGCACTTCATCATCTCGGCATTGTTCTGGGCCCGTGACTCCTTGAATCGAGAGTCGTCGAAGCAGATATCCGGGGCCAGGCGCGGCGGCGCCCTGCAGGTTGCCTCCCCGGCCCAACTGCTGCGGCGTCGTCGCCGCGAACAAGCTGGAAGAAGTCCTCGGTGGAGGGCCCCCCCACCAAATGTCGGAACTGAACCGACGCGCAGGCTGGTGCGTCTGGGCAGGAGGCATCTGGCGCCCGCGGGGCCGCGGGCGGCACGCCGCGCGGCGGCGGGGCGATCGCGGCCGCGCCCGGGGCGAGCGCGAACAGGGAGCTGAGGAGCTCAACGGCCGCAGCGTTGGTTGCGGAGCCCCTGTGCGCCGGCATCGCCAGGGGGGCCAAAAGCAAAGGCTGCGGGGGGAAGACGCCGCGGCCCAGGACAGGAAGCTCGGGGGGACCGCACGCTGGAGAGCGCCGGCGACGCACCTGGGGGCCGCGCGCCGCAGAGCGCTGGCGACGGCGGGAGCGGGAGCGGCGGCGGATTGCTCGACCTTCCCGCGGGCGCTGGCGGCGACGGCGGCCCACTGGCGCAAGCCTCCACGGGAAGACTTGGGGGCTGCTGCGGAGGGCTCGCCGCGGAGGTGGTCGCGCTGAAGAGCCGCAGGGCGGCGCCCAGCGGCGCTGCCGCGCGGGGCCGAAGATGTCGACGCGGTCACAGCCCCCGCCCTCGCGGTCCCTGCTGCGCATTGCTGCCGCAGAAGCTGCGCGCCATCGGGCGCGGGCGCGTTATTTTCGCGCCGCGGGCGTACACAACGAAGAAACACAACGGGAACCTTGCGCCTGCGGTGGGGATGCTTGGCACATGGCATCGAAGAGAAGCCTGGAGCTTTACTTCCGCACCTTTCCGCGAGACTATCGCCGACGACCGCAAGGAGCCGAAGCCTTGATTTCCACAGCCCTTCCGCGGACAGGCAACTGGCTTCCACGGGGCAAATCGATTGGAGCCTGCGGCCCGCCCCCGCAGTGCGAAGCCTGACGGAACTGGCATCGGGGAACGGGCACAGGGACCCAGGGGCAGTGGAGGCAGGGCCAGACCCTCCCCCAAGGCGGCCGCATGGCCGGCGACCTCCCAAACTAAAGCCTTTTAGGGTTTAGGGCCGCTGGCCTTTAAATTCCCAAATGGCTCCAAGCGCTCCCACGCGCTCCCTGGCGCCACCAGGCGCTCCCATGCGCTCGCAGGCGCTCCCAGGCGCCCCCTGGCGCTCCCAGGCGCTCCCCGGCGCTCCCAGGCACTCCCAAGCGTTCCCAGGCGCTCCCCGGCGCTCCCAGGAGCTTCCCGCGCTCCCAAGCGCTCCCAAGCGCTCCCAGGCGCCCCCAGGCGCTCCCAGGCGCTCCCGGGCGCTCCCAGGCGCTCTCAGGCGCTCCCAGGCGCTCCCCGGCGCTCCAGCGACGTCGCATCAGTGACATGGAGGCCCGACGGAACATCATGGCACGGACGATGCTGAGCGACCTTTGGTTCCAGGAGTGGTCGGGAGGCGCATCGGCGCCGCATGAGTGGCATGGAGGCCTGACGGAACACCATAGCACGGACGACGTTGAGCAACCTTTGGCGCATTGATACTTTATTGGAGCACGATGCTTCAATGCATTGGTCAATGGTTGGTCGATGTTGACAGGCGCTGTCAGCCGGCAGGGGATAAGTCCCGATTGCGGCCGTAGCGCGGAACATGATGAATTGGTTGATTGGTGGGTGGGAAGGTCTATGATGGTCCTCACCTTGGTGTAATGAACTGAGAAAGAATGTGGAGGTCCGTCGTGGATTCCTCCATACGGCGGTTTTCGATGGCCGAGGGTCCGCAGGGAGGTCCTCGGCATCCCATGGTGCCTATTGACAACATGGTGGGTTGGTCAACGGATAAGAGCAGGACCCCAGTAGCCCCCATGATTAACAGTTGCCGAGGGATGGAGCCTATGATGGTCACCACCGGAGGGGCAGAGGCCTATGATGGTCTTCGCCCGGGGAGGAGAGGGAGGAGAAGCCGATGTCCAGGAGCGTGAAGCCATCCATGGATCTGAGGCCAGAATTCCTGACCAAGGGGATCTTGAATAATGAAAGCCTAAATGAAGCCAGGGTTGTGCCCGACCCCCTGAGGCGGGAGAGGGGGGCGAGTGGATGGGGCAAGGACAGGGCCTACCGCCCCTTAGTGCCAATCCTGGATAGAACAGAGCCCCCTTTCTGAGGGGCAACTCGAAGTTCAAACGCGTGCTGGGTCCACGTCGGGAGCAGCAGATTGCTGTAAGCCACAGTGCAGACCCTCGCCGGGAGGGAGGTCCCACGGCCCGACAAAACCAACACACAGTTTATGGGGAGCAGGGGGAGGAGGAGGAGGAGGAGGAGGAGGAGGAGGAGGAGAGGAGGAGCAGGAGGAGCAGGAGGAGCAGGAGGAGCGGAGGAGGGAGAGGAGGGAGGAGGAGGAGGAGGAGGAGGAGGAGGAGGAGGAGGAGGAGGAGGGGGGAGAGGAGGAGGAGGAGAGAAGAGGAGGAGAAGAGGAGGAAGAGGAGGAGAAGAGGAGGAGGAGGGGGAGGGGAGGGAGGGGGAGGGGGAGGGGGACGGGGGACGGGGGACGAGGGACCGGGGAGGGGGAGGGGGAGGGGAAGGGGGAGGTGGAGGAGAGGAGGAGGGGAGAGGGAGCGGGGGGAGGGGGAGGGGGGAGAGAGGGGGAAGTCGGACGAGCAGGAGATGAAGGAGGAGGCGGAAGAGGTGGAAGGGGGATGGGGAGGCGGGGGAGGAGGGAGAAGAGGAGATTGGGGGAGCACAGAGGAGGAGGAAGACAAGAGTTGATCCAGCCCTCACCGCTGATGATGCCGCGTTCCCTCGTGTCAAGTCCCCCCTCCCCATGATCCGATGTAGATATTTGTATGTTCACTGCGGCGGGCGCCTACTGGGAAGCCGAGGGCCTCGTGGACTTGCATGGTGAGCATCATGCGGCGATGGCCAGATCTCAGCCGATGTAAATAGCATTGAGAAGCTGCGGTCGGCGTTTCTGGGGAATGCGACGATTTCGGCCAAATCTGGGGCACAGGGCCCCAACCCCTCGTGTCCCCGCTCTCGCCCCTCCGAAGAGCGCCCACGTTGATAATGTATGCCCGTGCGCGTGCATTCTGAAACGAGCATATGTGACCATATGAAGATACGGTCGCGTGAAATTCTCGCCAAGGGAACATGGGCTTTGACGAAGAATCGTCGCGGTTGAAGGATCACGTGCGCAGCATTTAAGGGAGGGTTTGACGTCGAAGAGCCATTGCCCTCTGCCCCTGTGACTGTTAAGCGTTGAAGCTTCACGGCCTTGATGTGTAAAAGAAGCCATTGGTTGGAACACGATTCCGAGAATGAGTTGCACACCGTTTCGTAGTTGTTGGAATAGCAAGTTCTACGGTCCTGGGATGTGAGCAGGTCTCGTGCGAGAACCAGATGTTGGTAATGGGCCGACCTCGGCCCTTGCCAGCGTTGGGCATCGCAGGCTGTAGCACCACAGTCGTAGGGAGGACGCGTTTGAGACGAATGTGCCCGGCGCGTGGGGGAGGGCAAAGTTTTGACGTCGGTCCGCCCTCAATCCGTGTAGTTTCCGGGAGCGCGTGTGCCTGGCGTTCATGGAAGAACCTCGTCTTGAAATTGACCGCCCTCTGCGGCATTGTGGTGAGGGCCTGATTTTGCAGACGATTCCTTCCATCCCTGAACAGGCTTGAAAAAGTTCCAGCGAACACGCGGAGTGCTGAGGCGCGGCCCCGACTTTGAAAGGCACCCGTGGAGGAGGGGGAGGAGGTTGGAACGGTGAGGTGTACGCGACGTTCTGTTGGTTCGCCGGTTGTCGTGTCATGTCTGTACGCCCCGTATTGGTTTGGCCATCTGTACGCCGAAGCAAGACCGTCGTTGTGGTGGTGTGTCCGGATGAGGGCGCAATATCGATGCGTTATGGTTCGTTGGTTTTCTTCAGCATCGTGCGCAAGATCACATCATGTGTTTTCTGATTCGCGGCTCCAGAGGTCTGGGGGAGGAGTACGGTCGCGGGTCATGCTGCCCCTCGCCGCTTTCGCGCGAAGTTCGCACCGCATGACAGTCTCCTTGGCATCGCTCGCTCGGACGTGTGCATGTTCTCGGCGAGGGCCATCGAGGAACGTCCCAGATCACTTATCAAAAACAGCATGCACGAAACCGACAAATGCACGGGGAATGGACGTCCGAGCGATGGCAAGTCACAGACCAGCAGTTCTTCATTCTTCACGTTTTCCCACGGATATTCCATCTCGTCCTCCTCCCGCGCCCTGTGTGCGTCATCGTTGGGCAGTCCTGGCCAGGGGGGTATTGCCAGCGCGTTTGTTTTCTCAGCGGTCACGCTTGCTGCTTGAAATCGCCTACCGAAGTTCGGTGCTGTGAGTCTCCCTGACTCGCACGGCGGCCTTTGGACTCGCATTATTGTCGCCGCGTCGTTGAGTCGAACAGGGACGGTCGCGAACCTCACGAATCAACAAAGCAACACCAACAACAACACTGTCCCATGGATCCTCGTGATCCGTTGGTGTGCAATGTTCCTCCGCCACCCCTGGGCGGTGGCCGCCTTGTCTTTGCGCGTTCGTAAGGCCTCGCCGCCCACCATTTGTGGCCTGCAGCAGGCACATCAAATAAGAAAGCGGCCTGTCAGCAGATTCCCCAGGAAATTCCGTTATCCCCCATGGCCTTCGGGAGGGGGCACAGAATTGTTGGGGCATCCTCGAACGATCGAAGAAGGATGTGCCCCACGATTTCTATCCAGATGTCTTATCCGAAGTGCAGCCCCATGCGCGAGCCCGCGCGAGGCAGCGGTGCATCCAGCAGGCGTCAAGCCGCTGAGAAGCCGAGCCAGCAGCCAGCAGGAGGAGGCGCCCCAGCGGAGTGGCTGCGCCCCCTGGCGCGAGCGGAAAGTCGGTTTTCTTGATTCGCAGATCCGAATCATTTTTAGACGCGTTCCTACTTCAATCATCGAGTGGTGGCCCCTTCTCCTCCCTCTTTCGGGGTCGGGCAGAAACCCGATCTGCCTTCAACGCCGCCCTACTTCGTGTTTCGGCCCCCCTTTTCCGACCGATAGGTACGCCCATCTCCCCAACCAGAGCACTTACATGTCGCCGTGAGGACAAAGGGGCTCTGGAGGAGAGGGGTTCTAGAGGTTTTGTGCCGTCCTCGGGCTCCTGGGGCCCTCCCCGGGGCTTCAGGACAGTCACAAAACGGCGATGGAGCATGAGAAACGTGTATTGGAGGAAGCCCAGTGTCCAGAACCCCTTTTCTTCAGGGCAAGGACAGTGTAATTATGACCGTGCCAGTGCAATCCAGGTTCATGTTGCAGTTTGTTGCGGTGTGAGTGGTGTGGGGCGTCAGAGGGTATATGTGAGATGTTGCCCGATTGCAATGTTACGTCTGCCATCATACGTAGAAAGCGCACGCAAGAAGCATTCGCCTCGAGAGTGCACGGTCGAATAGTTCAGATCATGGGTGCAGCGTACTCGGGTATTGCATTCAGGATCGGTTTGTTGTTCATCTCAGAAAGTGGCCCATCCGCTCTCTCTCTCGCTCACCGTCTCTTTCTCCCTTCTTCACCCTCTCCCCCATCTCTCTCTCTCTCTCTCTTTCTCGTGTCTCCGCCCCTGTTGCGTATTATGCATGCTCCTAATATTTGCTTGACCGAGGAAGGGGTCAGTCTATGCTATGGCACCTGCTCCACGCTCCCTGCCCTGTCCTCAGCCTACGACGAGAGATGCACAGGCTGATGTGCATGCAAGCGACGGAGATGAGATGACAGAGTGAGTTCGCTGTTTCTCGTTGATGTAGTTATCTGTTTGGGCCACGTGGATCACTTCTGGAAGGGAGGGAGGCGGAGTTTTACGGAGGGGATTGGCTCCGGATGAGATTTGAGTTCAGGGTGTGTCCCCCGCTCGCCAGGGAAATTGCCACAGTGAACTAGCATGTGCATGTTGCAGTTGTGATACTGTGAATCAGCGTAGCGTTATCCGTTTGCCAGCGCTCAGCCGTCTGATTTGCTGCGCTTGCAAGGCGACGCGTATCGAGTTGGAGATGCTGTGCTGTACTGGAGCAAGCAGCATTCCAAGTGGATGAATGGGGACTGCACATCGCCTTTCTCAAAGTTGGCACCATGTGTCCCTCCGCCACTGTATTGAGACATGCCTCCGATGTCCACATGATCTGCACGCGCTCGGGAAAGCCAAGCTTATTCAATGTTGGCGCGGGTTACGTTGCCAATGTGGACGGATTCCGCCATGCAGCTTATGGCACATCTGTAGAATCAGGATGAAATCATCATTCGTTTGATTGGACATGTGGGTATGTTGTTTCACTGATAATGTGAGTGTGCAGGATTAGGCACGCACCCGACACCACACCTTCCCTCTCCCACCGCGCTTGGTCTCTTCTCTCGCTGCCTCACAGGTTCGTACACGTGTTTTTTTTTCATATTGAATGTTACAAGGCAGCGTCGCACGCGGGGATTCGCTTCGGCTCAGACATACGCGTTGCTTGAACAGTCGCGTATATGTCTATAGTATGTACACGTGCATGTATGCATGTGCCGGCTCGTGTTGGGAGAATTTGTGTGTAGTGTCTATGCATGCGCATGGTTGGTGGTGCATGGTGCGTGTTTGCACGCACACAAGCATATTGTTCAGTTATGACTCCATAACATCGGCTTATACTCGAGGAGATCAAGAAAAAGAGGCGGCATGACAAGGATCGTTCGTGCTTGTTGTCTTTAGAGGTGTAAGGGCGTCACAGTTTGTTATCAGGCGACTTGGTCGGACAAACCAGGGCAAAGGCATGTTTACTAAGTGGCGGAGGAAGTTGCAAGAGAACGTATTTCAGCAGAACGGCGCTGAGTGGAATGACCACAGAGGCACAGAGGTGCAATGGTAAAGGCTTGACGCTTCGCGTATCCCCACCAGAGCGCAGCTGCCGTCTCAGTGGGCCGACCGGCGCGCCTGTCCTAGCCAATTAGCCTCGTTCGTGGCCCGGACGTTGCCTTTGCCGCCTGACCCTTGTCTCGCGGCCGCGACCAAAAAAGTATCCCCACCAGCCCATCCTGAAGCGAATCTCAGACGCATCGTTTTGAGAAGGGCAGCAGAGGAGAGCATGAAACCAAGAGTGGGGGCACCCGCCAAATTAAAGGCAGGAACACCATTCAACAACGGCCAATTTAATGTCTTTTTGGGATCGCCTCGATGCATCTTGGGCCCCTCTTGGGGAGCTTTCGGGCCCTCTGCATCCTGGAGTCGTGCGAACAGCTCATGTTTCGTAAGATCATATGCCCCAAACATGCAAGTCATATTAAATTATTTACGTGCACAAAAAGTGGAGGCCAGCGGCAAAAAACATGTGGTCCCAATTTAGCGTTTTTCAATTGCTTTCTGAAGGTCCGCTTCGATCCATCTTGCCACCATCTTTGAAACATATGAAGCCCTTCGGAGGCGATAAGGCGAGATGTCTAACAAAGTGTGATCTCAGGCTACCGTCCATCTGCAAGATGGGAGGGTATATTTGATACGGTGCTCTGTCGTCTTTAGTTCGGTTGGCTCAGCTACCCCCTCACGCGCTCTTTCTCCCGACCCCCGTCTGCCTGGCTCTCTCCCTTCCCCCCTCTGCACTCCGATGCATTGGGTCGCCCCCCTTCCCATCCAGTTTAATTTACCCCGTTAAGTCTTTAGAAATCCTTTGGCCAGTAGATGGAAAGTAAATATCTTTCGGGCGAATGTATTGACAACTCGGAAAAACGATCCCGCCCGACAATAGCGGAAAATAATTATAGTTCGGGCGGTCCGACGACGAAGACGATAACGAGTACGTGTGCGATTGCGACTACGACAGCGATGCGACGACGAAGGCGGAGACGCATGTGCGCGGCCCTAAGGCGAGAGCTGGATTGTGAACCACACCAGCCCTCGACCCTTGTAACTGTTACAAACTTTTAAGACGAGAGTGCGCGGCGCTGAGACGAGAGCTGCACTTTGAACCACACCAGCCCTCCATCCTTGTAACTGTTGCAAACTTTTCAGACGAATGCGCGCGGCGCTGAGACGAGAGCTGAACTTTGATCAACGTGCGGCCTCTACCCTTGAAACGAATGCAAACTTTTAAAGCCAGAGTGCACGGCGCTAAGGCGAGAGCTGCGCTTTGATCGACATGCGCTCTCCATCCTTGTAACTGTTTTCCGCCAAGCACCCGTCTTACGAAAGTCCGCAAAAATCCTCACGCGCGTAGGGTTGCCCATGCGGCATTATTCCCTGGGAGGGACAGCCCCCAGACAACAGCGCCCGCGCGAACAATAGCGGGCAAATATTTTGTTTTCGGCCGCGATGGTTTCAGAATCCTTTCAAGATGGCTCATGATGGCTCCAAGACAACTCCAAGACAGCGCGAGCAGGAACCACTTCAAGAAATCCGAACAACAATTCTACATTACAACCGTCTTACGAAAGTCTGCAAAAATCCTCACGCGTGTAGGGTTGCCCATGCGGCATTATTCCCTGGGAGGAACAACCCCCAGACAACAGCGCCCGCGCGAACAATAGCGGGCAAATATTTGGTTGTCGGCCGCGATTTTGTGTTCGAACCACTAAATTGAAGGTGTTGCAAATTTTTAGTTCGAATGTGCGCGGCGCTGAGGCGAGATCTGCACTTTGAACAACACGAGCCCTCCATTCTTGAAGCTGCTGCAAACTTTCATGACGAATGTGCGCGGCGCTAAAGCGAGACCTGCACTTTGAACAACACGAGCCTTCCATCCTTGAAACTGTGGCAAGTTTTTAAGACGAATGTGCGCGGCGCTGAGGCGAGGGTTGCACTTTGAACAGCACGAGCCCTCCATCCTTGAAACTGTTGCAAGTTTTTAAGGCGAATGTGCGCGGCGCTAAGGCGAGGTCTGCACTTTGAACAACACGAGCCCTCCATCCTTGAAGCTGTTGCAAGCTTTTAAGACGAATGTGCGCGGCGCTAAGGCGAGATCTGCACTTTGAACAACACGAGCCCTCCATCCTTGAAACTGTTGCAAGCTTTTAAGACGAATGCGCGCGGCGCTAAGGCGAGAGCTGAACTTTGAGGAGGAGGAGGAGAGGTTTCGGGAGTGGACGAGTTTCGGGACGAGTTTATTCACCGCGGAGAGCTCCAGGAGAGGGGGACCAAAACTAAAGACGTCATGAGGTTTCCTTCTCGCTCTCTCTCTGTCTCTCTCCCTTTCTCTTCCTCGCTCCCAGACGCTGCTGTACGACGTCCTGTGCAAGAACGTGTACGTCCGCAGCGTGCCATCCGGTCGCCTGCGGCGGTGCCGCCCGCAGGCGACTGGCCGCCCTGGACTGCGCACGATGTGTTGCCACGGCAGTGCACAGCGCGCTTCACAGTTCTAGTTGTTGGAAGGCCTTACGGCACGGCCGGTGCCCCTGGCCTGGAAGGGGGACGACGACGACGACGACGACGACGAGGCCGATGACGACGATGACGGCGACGGCGACGGGACGACGCTGACGCTTTGGAGCCGAGAGCTTCTCCCAGGGAGGGGTGCTCCCCCACCGCAGGGGGGGGGTCACAACCCCCGTTCTAGCTATCCTGCGCCAGCCCACCACAGCGCAAAAGCGACGCAGGTGGCTGGCATCGTTGGTTTTGGGCCCCTCGATGGCTGACATGTTGCATGTGTTTGTCGCGGGTATCTGGAGGGACATTCCCAGCTCGCTGTGTCGTGCGCGCCGCTGGTTGGCGAGTACCCTTTGCGCATACATATAAGGGAATCTCTGATGTTCCCGTCATAAAGGTTTCACTGTGGAGTGACCCCGGGTTGCCCAGCCAGTGCGGGGGGGCATTGTTGTTGTCAGAATTTGGTTCCGCCCGAGGGACCCGAGCGTCGCGCCCAGAATTGCAAGGATGTCTCAGGCGAAAGGGGCAGGACAACATCGCCCGCTACATCTTGCAGCCCAGAGTTATGAGGGAGCTCAGGCGAAACGGGCCGGCCACCCCGAGCGCAGCATTCGGTGGCCTGTGCGAGCTTGTGCCAGCATGTGCGGATGGTTGGTGGCCTGCTTCATTCACCGAGCGCGTTCCACTACTCCCAAAGTGCCTACTCGCAAACGTCCGAAAAAACAAATGTCTGCCTTTGTATACATATAACGGCGCACCGGGTCCGGGGGCCCGGGGCCGGGACCTCGACCACAAATGTGCGCCCCGGGGGGCCCGGAGGCTCGTCGGGGCTTGCCGGAGGCCTCCCCAGTCAGACAGACGGCCCAAGAAGCGCCCAAGACGGCCCAAGAAACTTCCAAGAGGCCTCCAAGAGGGCTCCGAGATGCTGAAGATGGCCTCCAGACGTCCAAGGACGCCCCCAAGAGGCCCCAAGAAGCCTCCAACATGCGTCCCAAGAGGGCCCCTAGACGCAAAAATTGGCCCATTCCCTTCGTAAAACGTACATGTTCAACAAAGTTGTCTTTTGGGCTTTCCGACGTTACAGGACGGCCCAAGAGGCGCCCAAGACCGCCCCAAGACGGCCCAAGAAGCTTCCAAGAGGGCCCCAGGACAGCCCAAGAGGGCCCCAAGACGGCCCAAGAGGCGCCCAAGATGGCCCAAGAGGGCCCCAAGACGGGCCCAAGAGGGGGCCCAGAGGGGGACCACGAACCGCAAGCTCGAGCCTTCCGCCCCAAGAGGCCGCCAGGAGGCCCCCAGGAGGCCCCTCAAGAGGCCCCAGGAGACCCCAGACGTCCAAGGACGCCCCCAAGAGGCCCCAAGAAGCCTCCAACATGCGTCCCAAGAGGGCCCCTAGACGCAAGAATTGGCCCATTCCCTTCGTAAAACGCACATTTTCAACAAAGTCGCCTTTTGGGCTTTCCGACGTTACAGGACGGCCCAAGAGGCGCCCAAGACCGCCCCAAGACGGCCCAAGAAGCTTCCAAGAGGGCCCCAGGACAGCCCAAGAGGGCCCCAAGACGGCCCAAGAGGCGCCCAAGATGGCCCAAGAGGGCCCCAAGACGGGCCCAAGAGGGGGCCCAGAGGGGGACCACGAACCGCAAGCTCGAGCCTTCCGCCCCAAGAGGCCGCCAGGAGGCCCCCAGGAGGCCCCTCAAGAGGCCCCAGGAGACCCCAGACGTCCAAGGACGCCCCCAAGAGGCCCCAAGAAGCCTCCAACATGCGTCCCAAGAGGGCCCCTAGACGCAAAAATTGGCCCATTCCCTTCGTAAAACGTACATTTTCAACAAAGTTGTCTTTTGGGTTTTCCGACGTTACAGGACGGCCCAAGAGGCGCCCAAGACCGCCCCAAGACGGCCCAAGAAGCTTCCAAGAGGGCCCCAGGACAGCCCAAGAGGGCCCCAAGACGGCCCAAGAGGCGCCCAAGATGGCCCAAGAGGGCCCCAAGACGGGCCCAAGAGGGGGCCCAGAGGGGGACCACGAACCGCAAGCTCGAGCCTTCCGCCCCAAGAGGCCGCCAGGAGGCCCCCAGGAGGCCCCTCAAGAGGCCCCAGGAGACCCCAGACGTCCAAGGACGCCCCCACGACGCTTCGCGTCACCAATTTCTTCTCACAACGATTCCTGGGTCTGTGACTCGACAGAACCTAAGCGCGCGCGAAGCGCGCGCGTGGTTCTAGTGTAATATATCGTAGATCCCCCCGTGGCGGATCCAGGCTATTTGCGAGTAGTTGCTTTGCGGGTACTTGAACGCACCTGTCTATTCACTAGGGATTCCCAGGGGTATGATCGCGAGAGTGTCTGTCATGTGCATGCGTGTGTGTTGACGGTCCGCGGCCACCTCACAGACCCGCGCAGCGGCGCAGAGCCGGCGCGCACTGCGCTGCGCCCTCTGTGAGTGGAGATCATAACAACACATAGGCATGAGCAGCAGTCACATGACACACCTAGACATCAAGACTTGAGCATCAATGACATGAACACAAATACCTTGACATCAGCATCAATGACATGAGCATCAAGACTATGACAAAACCTCAACATGACCTTGGTGCCCCTGTTTTATTAAGTCGTCGTCACCTGGTCCTGCGCCACGGGACGATCCTCTGCATGGGCCAGCAGGTGTGGTCCGCGGCTCCTGCCCGCAAGGGCTGGCGGCTTACCGACGGACCAGGGGGGCTTGCTTTCCCAGGGAGGGTCCTTCGGTATTATTCCGCTCGGCATCCTTGGTCAGCTGTTGACCCTGTGTTCTCTGGCAACCCAGCTCAAGTTTCCGACGCCCCCAGGGCGTCATCGCGAGCGCTATGTTCCATCAGCTAACAGTTGCTTAATACAGGGATCCACCTGAACAGACAAATGAGATCTGTTGGCACATGTTCCTGCACTCTCTCTCTCTCTCTCTCTATTTCTGTCTGTGTTGCTTCTGCTTGCATACTCGTGTAGACGTCTTGCTTGACCATTGCTGATTTGGCTCAAGGCCTATTCTGATCTACAGTGGAAAGCTGATATTGCAGAGCTTCGCGATTTTCCGCCCGACCCCCGCGTGCCAACAGTTGCAGCGGAGCTGGGTTCATGGCCGCAGGCTGCAGCAACATCAGGTGTTCGCGGGTGCAGCTAGCGGCCAAGACGATCCACGGACCTACGGGGATCAGACGGACGACAGGGCCGCGAAAGAAGACACCGACGGCTGAAGTTCATGTCAGAAGGGCTCTCTAGGCATGACCCCGACTCACTCAATAGCTGGTCGAGCGACCGAGCTGCTGAGGAGCGACCAGAGCGCTCCACCGGCAACAGCGGCAGCAGCAGCAGGACCACTGTCGTGGTGCCCATTTCCGACGCAGGCAGCACCAGACCTCCAGACGCCAGGACCAGAAGGAAGAGCCTCCAGTGCCGTCCTTTTCCTGGTATGAGCACTGCCAGGATCAGTTGTGGCATGACGGTCCGTGGGCCTCGACGTGGACCGCTGGGGTCTGGACGGAGCAGGTCTGGGCCAGACAGCCGCATGATACCGACGAAATCTGGACACCACAGGCGCGCGAGCAGGCCCCAGCACCGACAGACGACGACAACAGCACACCACCGTCGATAAGAGCCCAGGGGCCCAGCAAGTGTGCAGTACCGGCCGACACCATGCCGTGGATCCGATGGCACGGCGGCACCCGGCAACCAGGCGCATGGGCGCATTGGAGCGGAGGTGGGAACGAGAAGCAGCACATCAGACCGCCGCCGTCCTGGCCAAGCTGGGGCAAGTTCCGATTGTGGAAGCAGTACGTGACGAGGTGGAGGCGCAACTTTTGGCCCACAGTGACCATGTGCACAAACCGTCCCCTAGAAGAGCTATCCTGGGACCTGAGAGCCAAACTGCTGTATATTCCAGAGCAGGACCTCACAGTGGACAGGATGTCGCACAATGTCAAACAGGAAGTTGGAGAGCCAGAGGACGACGAAGTCTTTCAGGGCAGGCAACGAAGCCACCAGGGACATCAACCGGCAGAAGGGCGAGGACCTGCCAGCCTTCGTGACACGCCGGCGCCGACAGTTCGAAAGGGCAAAGGAGATCGGCATGGAATTCAGATCTGAGGTGCAGGCCATGCCACTCCTCCAGGCTGCCAGGTTGTCCGCGCCAGGTAAGCAGAACGCGCGGAGTCTCACCCTGAGTTTGCTGCTGGGACCAGGCATCACGCGGGCCCTCCCATGACTCGACGCCGGCGGACTCGCTTGAGGAGATGACAGCAAGTCGCACGGCAACCTTACGTGACGAGGTGGAGGCGCAACTTTTGGCCCACAGTGACCATGTGCACAAACCGTCCCCTAGAAGAGCTATCCTGGGACCTGAGAGCCAAACTGCTGTATATTCCAGAGCAGGACCTCACAGTGGACAGGATGTCGCACAATGTCAAACAGGAAGTTGGAGAGCCAGAGGACGACGAAGTCTTTCAGGGCAGGCAACGAAGCCACCAGGGACATCAACCGGCAGAAGGGCGAGGACCTGCCAGCCTTCGTGACACGCCGGCGCCGACAGTTCGAAAGGGCAAAGGAGATCGGCATGGAATTCAGATCTGAGGTGCAGGCCATGCCACTCCTCCAGGCTGCCAGGTTGTCCGCGCCAGGTAAGCAGAACGCGCGGAGTCTCACCCTGAGTTTGCTGCTGGGACCAGGCATCACGCGGGCCCTCCCATGACTCGACGCCGGCGGACTCGCTTGAGGAGATGACAGCAAGTCGCACGGCAACCTTTCGGGGGAGCGTAAGACCCGGGTTTGCCGGGACTCGGGTTCGCCATCGTTTTTTGACGACCGCGACTCGGATTTTGACGAGGAGGAGTTTTGTGGGATGTCTGCAGCGGGAGGCCTCGTCAAAATGCAGGCTCGGCCTCGTCATTTTTTTGACGACCTC